TGCCGAGTGCTAACCCTAAAACACTCGGCAAAGGTATTTTTTTAAAAAAACTTTTCTATTTCCTTTCCCTTTTCCTTAACCATTTTTTTTCCAAATTTGTTCCAATACACTTTGAAAATACCTTGTCAAATTCACTCAACAATGCAAATTTGATGCTTCAGCGAAAAATAGACCATGATTTCATGTAGTTATAGCTCAAATTCCATTTATATAATTGCAATTAAAAATTAATAATTATCAAATGGATCCAAAAAATCACTAAAATTTAACATGACACGATCTTTGATGTCTATTGGCTATAAAAAAGTTTCGGAGTCAAACCACAACTCGACCGTCACTTTCACTACAAATCTTACCAGATCATTCTCAACAATCATGAAACTTCTTCGGAGATGTTTCGGTTTGTAAGCAATGTACGTGACAACTTATGCGACACCTTCTCAATTTTTTACCACAGCCTCCACATATGATATCATGACATCTTATCAAATTTCATGATTTTCGGACTTCCTTTGCTTTTTATTGAATTTAAAAACCATTCAACCACAAGCTCGGGGTTGTGTTTCTGAAATAAGATGTTTGAAAACCCTTATAATCTTATAAGTAAGGCCTCAAACTGGGTTGAATAACATGAATATCAATTTTATACTCATTTTTCCAAATATTTGAATCACTTGCAGTTCAAATTTAACTTAATTCAAAAAATTCCTTGAAATGCAATTAATTAGTTAAATATAACAAATAAATTAAAAAATACACCAAACTTAAGCATGGAGTACCACATGGGGTGTGTGGAGAGGTGAAAATTTTTGAAGTGCAGGAGCAAAAAAAAATTATGCTTTGCCGAGTGTCTGCTTTTGACACTCGGCAAAGAGCCTCTTTGCCGAGTGTTGCCTTTGTACACTCGACAAAGAGCTGACGGCGGCAGCCTAGTTTAACGGCGGGCCAAAATTTACCGAGTGTGAGACGTTGACACTCGTCAAAGAAAGTCTTTGCTGAGTGTTACCTCTGAGCACTCGGCAAAGAGCAGCTTTGCCGAGGGTCGTGTCTTTGTCAAGTGTTTAAGTTTAGACACTCAGCAAATACATCCTTTGTCGAGTGCCTGATATAAAATACTCGGTAAAGTTCTTGGCACTCGGTAAAGCTTACGATTCCGGTAGTGTACCTCACCGTGTGCGTCCTCACGGAGGCGCCCAGAGGATACAAGGCAAGTCGGGCGTCGCGTCGGGGCCATGCATGTTTCGTTCGGTCGTGCCGTTGTTTCGTGTGCTCACTGTTTTTTCACCTGTTCCGTTGCAGGGACCGGAGCAGAACGCGTTGGGGAACGTTCTCGTCGCCTGCCTCCTCGCCGGCATATCCACCGGCGTCGCGCTCGACTGGCTGTGGCTCATCGGCAAGGGCTGGTGAAACGTACCCGGTGATTGCCGTGCGCTGTAGACTTGTAGTAGTCCAGGAAAGTCGTGACAGTCTGATAGACAAGTGTGCTATACTGCTATGCTCAAAGCAACTTCAAGGCTTCAAGCTTTTTGTTGTAAAAAAAAAGGCTTCAAGCTTTTTTAAAAAGAAAAAAAAAAGAAAACCGCTTACGCACTGTTGGGCCTTTTTTCATATAATGGGCTCAAACGAGAGCCCAGTGCCGTGTGATGATGGAACAAGACCTCTGCGGCTGCATCAACGAGTGGGCGGGCGAGTGGTTGTTGGTAAGTGAGTGAGGTACCACGGCTCAGAGCGCGGGGCCATCCTGCTGCCCGTGGCACTGGACAAACCAGCTGGCGCCAAGTCAGCACGGCTGATACTTTATTTCCCGGGTCCACCACGTATCCCGGATGGGACGTTCCGTCCAGGTCAGCAGCAAATAATTACGAGCACCCCGAGCGTACCAATGCCGGCAGGAGGAATGATTGTTCTTTTCTTGCATTTGATTATTGCGACCAAGACTCTCTGCCTTTTGAGGTGATCTCATGAATCATGACATCCCAGCTGTTCATTTTAAACCTTGAAGGCTTCAACCTCTTTTCTTGAAGAAAAAATGCCCAACATCGTTTATACAGGGCCTGCTTGGATGAGTTTTAGATTAAAAACCATTTTTTATCTCTAGTTTCTAAAATCTGTATTCTAAGAGGAAAATTGGTGGGGGTGTTTGGATCCTAGATTTTAAGAATTTGGCTTCATTAATTGCTCACATGGTCACAAAAATTGGCAAAAGCTAGGTATCAGCAGCAGCTTGATTTTTAAGAATCTGGTAAAAACTAACACAAGAAACTGGAAAAAAAACTAGCATGTTTGATCCCACCTAGTATTTTAAATCATATTCTTAGAAACTGGAAGGATCCAAACAGGACCATATTCATGCTAATTCACTGTAAACGCCTACCACTACATATAAACTACTATGAGGAATAAATGGCTACCCGCATCTATATTTGCATTGGAACCCACCGTCACATAGGGCCAGTTTGGTTGCCGAAATTTTTGGCAAAATGACATTGTAGCGTTTTTATTTTTATTTGGCAATTAGTGTTTAATCATAGTCTAATTAGGCTTAAAAGATTCGTCTCGTAGATTTCGTCTAAACTGTGTAATTAGTTTTATTTTTTATTTATATTTAATGCTTCATGTATGCGTCTAAAGATTCGATGTGATGAAGAATTTTAAAAAATTTGATATTTTGGGAGGGAACTAAACAGGGCCATACTCTAGATATATAAGTAGATGTCTATCTTCGAGTACGTACTAATCTCAGCTAAGAAGTGGAGATAAACGACAGAACTGTTATTACTACTCTAGATATTCTGGTGTGACATGCACATATGTTGTTTATCTTAGTGATCCGATAATGGAAGCCCACAAAAAATGTTATCCGAGGACCTAATCTAGAGCCAGTGGGCCGATGCATCTCTTCCTAACCTGGAGCAGAATGGCATGGATAATATAGAAATGCTCTCAAAGAAGTACCAACTTGAAGGAAGACAAAGGGCTAAGAAACACTGCTTTCGAGCTAGATTCAGACGAACCATTATCATTCCGACGTGGAAAAAGCAGCGGTGTGGCCGCCGTACCATTTTTGTGCCTGCTGGTTTCGTATGTATTGGGCCCCAATGTTTGCGAGTTGTGTTTTCTCCGGCCAATGATGATTGCGATGCTTGTTTCGTGAGCAAGTTTTGAAAGATTCTCCTTGATCTTGCCCTTGACAGCACCTTCTTCGTCATCTTCTTATCTGGGTTGGAATTTCTTTGTTACCTTCCGGGTCCGCTGCTAAATCGTCATGACCGACCGAGCTTTTCTTATTGTTGGGTTCAGATTTCTACGAGCCGGCTTATCAGCTAGAATCTACAGTATTTTTCTCTCACAATAAAATAGCTTCAGCTGGCTTATCAGCCGGCTTTAATATCAATCGAACATGTCATGGTGGGGACACAGTGAGAAAAATTAGCCCATTTTCTTAATTAATTTTTTTGAGAAACATTTTCTTAATTAATTAGAGTAACACAATCAGCCACATACGCCGGCACGCTCGAATGGACCAAACTGTCGGATTTGAAATTTGTGCCCCCTTCCATCCGAATCCAAAAATTAAAAAAGAAGTGGACGTGCGTCCGGAAAGTGGTTCCGCTCGTCCGTTTTGCCACCGGCAGCAACTTTGGTGGAGCGTTAGGTGCATTTTTCAATTAAATTGGTAACGTGCATCCATCCATTTACTTGCACCGCAGCTAGTTTTTGGTTGCTACCACGTGCCGGTGCTGCCAGGTGCTGTACAACTTTTAGATCGTTTTTTAGTTTTTACTGTCTCGTCGCTATGTTTGTTGGGCGCCACCAAAGTGATCGCACAAAACCGTATAGTTCATAATGATAAAAAAAAACCCGTGTATTTCATTCCTTGTAATCAACAAACGAAACAACGTGATAAATTTTCTACCTAAAAGCTTTTCTGCTCGACGTATATTCCAAATCAATGAAGATGTTTCATGATATTGTTAAGACGCTACAGAAGACTTTGTTTCTTTTAAAACTAGCCACACTAAAGATTAGTCACACCATAGATTTTTGAAAATTGTTTGGTTCACTGTCATAACTATAATGTATTACACTTTTTTAGCACCATGTCTGACATGTTAGACTTATTTTCATGGCAAAATTTATCATAAGTGTGATTTCGATTTTACTTGACACACGTTTTGAGATAGCCATAGTTTACCAAGGCTACACGTGATAAACTTCAACACCAAGGAAACAGGCCGTGAGCTACGAAAGATTGGAAAGAACAATGGCAATACGTGCCTGCGCTTTTTGCGTTGACCCTAGGTTTGTTGTGAGGGAGTCATATCGTAGAGAAGAAATGGACAATGGTTACGATATACAATACTCCCGGCTACCGAGGGAGCTGTGCTGTGAGATCTAAGAATGGAATGTCCTCATGGTCTAGGGTCAATAATTTGCACCTTACGGGTTCGGCTGGGGCTGGCTGGCTGGCCAGCCCCCTCACATGAACATTATTCATATAAAACAGACAGCAGTACTTCTCTCTCACATAAACGAATCAGCAACGATACGAACCAGCCAACCGAACAGGACGACTACCGACCGACGCAAACACAAAACCAAACGTTATTTTTAGGAATGTTATTTACTGAAAAATATTATCGTGAACCAGAAAATTAAGGGTAGCAGTACATTTTGGCATCCTGCAAATCCTGGAAATAGTTTGAATTTCAAATTTTAAACAGCACACGAACGGGACATGCCAAATCAACCACTGCAGTATCGGATCCTACAGCTAGCCGCCGAGCCTGCCCCACCTGCCGAGCACCCCGTATAGAAACCCGCCTCCATCTCTCTCTCTCTCCTCTCGCCACTCCCCCGTCCCCGTCCTCTTCCCTCGCGACTAGCGATTCCCAAATCCCGATGCGCCCTCGCGACTAGCGCCTCCGCCTCCACCCCTCTTCCATCACCACCACCTCACCTCACCTGTCACCAGGACGGGACCACCGCCGCCGCCTCCTATGACGTCGCCGTCCTCGCACCACCCGGACTCCTCCTCGGCGTCCTCCACCCCGCGCGCCGGGGTCGGCAACGGCAACGGCGGCAACCACCACCACCCGCCGCCTCTGCCCCCGGCGCCCGCGCCCACCCCGGCCGCTCCCCCCGCGCAGGCGGCGCACGGGGGCCCGCAGGTGCGCCTCATGTGCAGCTTCGGCGGCCGCATCCTGCCGCGCCCGGGGGACCGCCAGCTGCGCTACGTCGGCGGGGAGACCCGCATCGTGTCCTTCCCGCGCGCCGCGGCCTCCTTCGCCGCCCTCGTCGCCGCGCTCGCCAAGGCCGCGCCCGCGCTCTTCGCGCCGGGGGCGCCCAGGCCGTCGCTCAAGTACCAGCTGCCCCAGGACGACCTCGACTCGCTCATCTCCGTCACCTACGACGACGACGTCGACCACCTCATGGACGAGCTCGACCGCATCCACGACCTCTCCATAAACGTCGCCAGGCCGCCCCGCCTCCGCGTCTTCCTCTTCGCGCCCGCGCCCGACGCCGCCTTCGGCTCCGTCCTTTCCGGCACCGCCGAGGCCGCCGCCTCCACCGACCAGTGGTTCGTCGACGCTCTCAACGCCCCCGCGCCGCACCCCATCGAGCGCGGCCGATCTGAGGCCTCCTCGATCATCTCCGAGGTCCCCGACTACCTCTTCGGCCTCGACACCGCGTCCGACGAGCTCAGCCCCGGCCGCGCGGCGGCCCGCGCCAAGTCCGACGCCGCGGAGACGGAGACTCCGCGCCACCACGGCGACGACGAAGACGACGTGCCGCCTTCCGCGCGCCAGATGCCGTACGTCGCCGAGGGAGCGTCATCGTGGCCCGCCCCGCCGCCGCCGTACATGGCGCAGCCTGTGTACTACTTCCCCGTGCCGCCGCCGGTCCACTACCTCGACCCGTCTGCGCAGGGCGGCTACATGCCTCGCCCGGTCTACCACATTGTCGGTGGCGGAGGAAGCGAGGCGCCTGGCGGAGATCTTCACGCGGCCGGCGGCGTCTACGGCGTCCCGCACCACATGCACGCGTTCCCGCCGATGATGTACCCGCCGCCGCGCGCGGTCGTCTACAACTACAAGTCGGAGGGGATGCCATCGCTGCCTCCGCAAGGTGGGGCACACTCTTCCTAGGCGCATCGGCTGCTTCACATCTCTGGTTCCTGATTATTATTGCAGATGCCTAAGCTAAGGAGTTTTGAATTGCTGCGTTTGTGGTAAATTTTTATGGTTTCGTCTAGTTTCTTGTTGGTTGGTGTATAGATGAGGGAAGTGGATGATGGATGGATATTGCAGTTTTCGTTTGGTAGAAATATATTCGTGAAATGTATCTATGCGGGATTCATATATTCTAGGTGGTTCTGGTCTCTGGAGGCCATTTTATATTTACATAAACTGGATGTTGGGTGAATGTTCTAAGCAACATGTGCTGTCAAATGGTCGGTTACTTGGGATCTTCAAATGCTACGTGGAACCTCAATCACTGATGAGGGGTTTACAAAATTTGAAACTGCTGGACTTCTTTGTTTGAGTGTTATACTGACTCGATGGATCCTTTCTAGATTTGATCATAGAGATCATGTTTGGCCTGTTTGCATCTTAATTAGTTTGATGAGTTCATCTGTTCCTGTCTGTATTGAGTTGGTATGCTGCGGTTGTTCTCCAATGCTTCTGATGTTCAGTGATCCAGTGATACCTCCTGAGGATTCTGAACTTGGAACTGCTTGTAAAGTATCTGCTTCGGTTCTGATGACATATGAGAGATAATTTTTGTACATTTTTGTTACATATATATAAAAGAATGTTCTACTCATTTGTACTTGGAAGTGCTTGTTTTTGCTGCTACTGTAACTCAGGGAAATCCCAATTCCAAATCGGTCATGTACTGGATTTTAGACAGCAGTGTTTTCTAGCTTTTGTGGATTGGTTTATAGAGTTGTCTTGTTTACATTGGTAGCTTCATGATTTCATTTGATATCATATACTCAGATGTCACGCTTGTCCTGTTGATCTCAAACTCTGAACTGCTCATCTTCTGGTATCGAGTGAGTGACATATCGTGATGATTCTGAACTTGCAATGGCATGCGAAGTATCCAGGGTCCTGATGATTAAAATGCACAGAGATAGAAAAAGGCGAGTTCCATTTTATCTGAAGAGTAAAGACTCCATACATTTTTTTTTTTCTATACCATGGTTTTGCAAATCTATGGGTTCTAAAACTGCAGTTTGTTAATACTACGATTTTCCAGTACAACAACATCCAAACAGGGTCAAAAGTGACATCAATACTTGAGTAACCAACAGATCAGGAGCTTGTATCGTTTATAGGGATGTATAATTGTTCCAGCAGAAGAACATTGGGTATATTTGCCATTATACATCTGGAGTCCTTGAGAATGTAGCGTGGACACCCATGTTCAGGAGATGCTGATCGTTCAACTGGCAAGAAAGGGTCCCCGATCCCCATTAATTCCAGCTGAGAAACAGATGTGCTTCTTTCGTACACTGTATGTGCAAATGTACAGTTTGGAGGCAAGAGGTTGGTAAATCTGTAGTGATAGTTCCCTCTGAGTGCGGACAAGTTGAGCCCACCATGTAAGACCATCTTTGGAACAAAGAAGTAGAGAAATTTTGGAGGACTAATTAAATCCTATAGGAACGTTTCCTACCTGTTCCCTTTGGAATAAGGAATTACTACCTACTCCGTATGAAATTTCTTGGGAACCATATATAGGAATTTTAGAGGAAAACTAGCAATGAGGTTGAACCTAATGGAAACTTTCCTTTGAGTGTAGACGGCGTTTCAGGTGATTAGTGAGCATGAATCGCCGCTCTCCACTCATCAATCAGCATCAGCTTCAGAAAGATGCCCACTAGTAAAACAGGCCCACTAGCGTTTCCGGGTATTTCCTCTGCATCTGCAATGGGCCGATCCGTTACTCGCACTCGCAGAACAGGCCCATTAGCGTTCCAGGCATCTGCATCTGCATCTGCAATGGTGGATTGGTGGTCATCATGGCTCCAAGCGGTGTGCGTCTAATGGCCTTCAACTGCGCCGCCCACCAGTAACAAAATGGAACCAACCCTGTTCGTTTGGGCTTGTAGGCCTTATTCCCGAATTCCAACCATGCAAAGGCTGCCGGCCGGCGATCGGATTGGTGTCGGCGGCGGACGCGAAGCAGCAGTGGCACGACGACCTCGACCTTCCACGGAGATTACAGGGACAGCTGACCTGAGTGAGTTGCCTCGGCCAGTCGGGCCCCACTACCCCGGGCCGGCGAAAGGCTTGCGGCAGCGACATCGTACCGCCCAATGATTGTGCCGTCTGCATGGGGAGAAAAGGCGCTGCCGGCTGCCGCTGCCGCGCGCGACGGGAGCACGCAAAGGCGGCCGCGGCGGCGCCCACCACCGCACCCACAGCACTACAGCAGACACCACGCACTGTGCACGCACCTGACCTCTCAGCTGAGCCGAGCCGTGCACGCGCCCGGCCTAGCCAGACGGTGATCGATCGATGGCAGTACGCGGGCTCGCCTTCACGTCGCTCACGGCCTCTCCACGCACTGTCATGCGCGCACGTACTGGTACAACTCGATCCGCCCACTTGAAACTCGATCGGTAAGAGCTAGTAATTCGCAGCTCTTGCTTGCTTGATCTTCAGACGGACGGGTCGATCCATGCATGACATCGATGTTAAGCTAATGGATAGCGGATTGCGGTCTCGTAGCATATGAGTGCTTGTGCTTGTATAGCGGATTGTGGATAATGGTTGTCGTAGGCTTCTAGCGGGTTACAATAGCCAGTAGAGCTAGCGCCGCTACTTCCATAGGTGGTACAAACGTTGGATACATCCTTCTCAGGATGCGTGCATCATGAACACGGAATATATCGATCGATGGATCACTGAGACGGACGCGACGTGCATGCTGTCGTGTGTGGTGTCATTCATCGGCCTCTGACCTTCGCCACGCATGCTTGCTGGCGGCCTGCCTGCATCTCGGCGGATTTGCTGGCAGCCCCACACCGTGCAGTCGCCAGTCGACTCGTCAATCCTTGCTGTTGCTGGTAGCTAGGCTATAGCTAGGGCCTAGGGGCCACTCTGCTCTCGCCTCCCGGTGGCTTCTGGCTCCTTGATGCTCCTTGATGCCCTTCAGTTATCAGTTCTCGACGTGCATGGTCAGCTCTTCAAAGGATAATAATAAAAACATCTCAGCAGCATAAATTACTAGTCCAAGGGTAGGTTAATGCTGCTGCATTAGACTATCTCCAATAGCAAAGATACAAACACGAGACTCATTCCATGGTTTGGGTCACGTCACAGTAAAAGAGTCGCATACCCAAAACTTGGCTTCTCCAATAGCCAATCCAGCAGCGAACCCAAAAAGGAGAGCTCCCACCCCGCCGAGCAAATCCCGCATCCTCCCCGCCGAGCGCCCCTGTCCGTGGGCCTCGCTCTAGCCACGCCGGCCCCGCCCCACCGACGCCACCGTCCCGCCTCGCCGTCGTCGTCCGCGGGCCGCCGGACCTCATCGACTCGCTAATCCTCTCCTCCCTCCGCTCCGAGCTCCCGAGCTAGAGCGGTAGACGACCTCGTCCAACGAGTAGCGCTTGTCGGGGTCGCCGCCGGGCGCCGGCGGGAAGAGCTCTACCACGCCGAGAAGCCCTACGCTGGGCCCCGGTGCCGGTTGCTCCACCCGGAGATCTATGTCGTGGAGAGAGGCGACACTTATTTGCGTTCTGGTTCGCCTGGTACGCAAAATAGGTGCGCATTTGCGTCGCGTTTTGCCAACTCTGTTACTACTATATAGTAGTGCATCAGCTGGCATCTCATCTCTTGGACAGTTGAGTTAAACCCCCTAATGGACACGGCTGTACAGTGCTAGTACGTACGTTGAGACCTTACGATGGTGATGGATCATCATCTGTTCAGACGTGTTCAGAGTTAAGCTGCGGCCATTACTGCGTACTTTTAGTGGCACGTACACCAAGTGCAAAGCCGTACGTGCGCATGCAGCGGGCACACACAGTTACTCAGCACACGGTCACGGCTAATCAGTCACCATGATCCGTAGGATTGGGCCTGATCTGATCACTTTGGCAACTTGCAAGTCTGGTAACTTCTGATCCCACATGCAGGCGGCACTGCAGTAACTGCGCGCTCGTAGTAGTTGTAGGGCCTCGCCTGATGGCTGATGAGCGGCTCACATACTGACACCCACGACTGATGATCTGATTAACTGAACTGAACACTCGGCAGTGCAAGCAAGTGGCCCGACTGGGACTGACCCCATGCATGTCCGATCCGAGCGGAGGGACGACATGGGCTCATGGAGCCATGGAGGAGGAAGAGGCCGGGGAAAAAGCTAGCAGATGCAGGCGCAGTTGCAGGGGCAGGGCATGCAATGCAAAAGCAAAAGCTTTGCTTCTCCAGGACCGGGATGGCCAGTGGGCTGCTGCATGCGGATCGTGGAGATCTGCAGACTGCATGCATCGGCGTCGCCCTTTCGTCGTGTGTTTGTCCGATTCTTGCTGAGAGCTAGCGGCCTGCGGCTACCACAATGCGCGCCGGCACCGCATTTGGGATCGGGATCGGGATCGGATTGGTGTTGGACTGTTGGGGGCTTTGGGGCTGTGGTGTTGTGTGTTCTGTTCTCTAGCTTCTTCTCCCGTGCTTTGCGCAGGCAGCACTCAGCAGCACGCTTTCTTTCTCTTGCACCTATGCAAAGGTGCGAGTAGACGAGTGCCGAGAGCAGCGGGAGGTGAGAGAGCATCAAGCATCATCCGGCAAAGCAAAGCAAAACGAAACAGGCCTGTCCACCCGCGAAAAGCAGCAGGAGATCATGGACGGATGCCTGCTTCCTGCTGCCTGCGTGCGTCGTATCTTGTGGGCCTCCGCGGCCGGCTCCGCCCTCCGGTTTGCATAGATCGGCAAGCTGAAAATGGACGAAGCAAAAGGCAATCAGGCAAGCCAGTTTTCCAATGAACTTACCGATCGAGGAGAGAAGATGTTTAATGTGGCATCACTGTACTGTACGTGCCCATTTCTTTTCTTGTGATGCCCGGCAAGCTAGCAAGCATGTCGTGGGTGGTGGAACGGACCTTGGCGATGCACCTCGCATGCGTGGCTAGTCC